AATGTAATTTTGATTAAGTTTTTCCAAATACTTTTTGATTTGTCTTTTTGAGAAATCCTAGATATCATTTTATTTTAATTGAATTTAAACATAATATTGTGTTAGTAACAGCTAGATGATATTGATTACTTGATCGCTTTCATATGAAACTTAAAAAAGCTAACAATTAATGGACTTTTGAAACTCATAAAAGTGTTTTTAACGAATTGCCAAGAATGATAATTGAATTAATGAAATTTGACTCAAATTAGAACATTCAGACGAAACAGTCTTTTCAGTTAAATGAATAATTATTATTTTGAATTGCCAATATTTGCTACTAACTTTATTTGGAGTGATGTGATTGCATTTGTTAGAATTTTATCACTTTTTTTGTTCCTCAATGTTTTTGTTTAATTATCTAAATTTGAAACCAGCAGGAATTACCTTTATGTGAACAGTGGAAATTATTGGGAATTTAAATGTCTGAATTTCATATATATTTGAGGTTAATGAATAATGAATAGTTTAAGATATGCGTTCATTGCCTTACAGATGAAAGTAAACCTTTCTCTGAGTGTTAATTCATTAAGATGATAGCTGGAATGGCTGATAGACATTTTTTGTGATAAATATTTAAAATTTGGATACTTGAAATATTTGCAAATATATATATTTGAATTGACATTCATTTTAATTTGCATACATAGCACTATTTTCAAATTATCAATGAATAAAAGGGTAAAATAATCTAAAAATAACGGTAGTGTTTTGTTTTGATATGGATAAATGAAATAAAATTATTGATAATATGTGGAAAATAAAATTTTTAATCGTTTCATGTGATTGTCATTTTTGATTTTGTCATCATGATATAAAATTTGATTGTTAAAAATTATATCGTCAAGAAAACTAAAAAACTTAAAATTAGACAATAATTTCAATTTAAACGTTTGAAAAAGAAGTAAAGAAAATATGCATATTTAAAAAATACATACCGTAAAGAAAATGCATCTATTGAATGTTTCTCGAGATTCTCGAGAAGCACTTAATGTTTATTTGACTTCTACAAAATGTTTATTTTACACATGCCTATTGAAGCAAAATTCAAGTTAGTAATTTATCGTTAGTGATTTATTTTCAAAACGAAAATAATTTTGATTCTTTTTTCGGCCATTATGTTCTATACAGCAAAGTTTAGTTGAATTCATCTTTTCTGCAAACAAATTTTAATAAAAAAGAGTAGAAACAGTCAATGATAGCATTTATGATGAACATTCCATGCTATGTTAATTATAATAATTAGAATGAGTATGGGGGCCATGGCAACGAGGGAAAATGATGAGTTAAAAGAGAGATAAGTTAAAGGCATGACTTGATAGAAAGCGGTTGTCACTCCTCTTCATTAATTTCAAATGAATGAATGTGATCATCATTTGTCGAGTTGTTTTTTTCCAAAATTCAACCATTTTTCTAAAGATTTCACATAAGAAGTTTGCTTCCAATTTGTTTAAAGTCACTCTCTCTCTCTCTCTCTCTTTCTCTCTCTCTTTCTCTCTCTCTCTTTCTCTCTCTCTTTCTCTCTCTCTCTCCCTTTAGTATTATATTGTTAAAGCTAAAATTTAAGTTGAAATGTTTATTTTTTAATATTCTCTCCATTTGTATTTTCAATTTGCTGATGATGAAATGTTGGTAGATGGTAGGCCTTAAATTCATTTCCTTCAATCTCACCTGAAATACCAATCAGATGATCTAATCTAGCATTGTCGACTATTTCTGGTGATTATACCATACTTATAAACTTATGTAGAATAAATGACTTAGTTTAGGATCTCTGTCAACTACATACAAAACCGAATATGCAAAGAATTATTAATTAAATTTGCTCATTATTTTTGAGTTTGCTCACCATAGCGTTACTTAAAGATCAATCAAATTAATCACTAAGTAAAATTTCACGCTTTTAAATCTTTGTCTGAAACTCTTGTAAGCTGTGAATTGCTTGATTCATAGAGCAAAGTTGCAAATGAAACTTTATGATTGAAATAAACATTCAAGGTTGGATAATATGTTATTAATTGTAAAATATTCTAACTGTTACTTAGGATTATACATTTATTAAAATCTGATCAGATTTTTCAATGAATAAAATTTAAGTTAATTTTTTTATTTAGTCGGTTTATTCGTCAGCAGTTTCAGAATCACAGTTAAAGTTGCAAGGGACAAATGTCACCATGATTCATATCAAATAATGTGTGAATTTATTTAATTTAGTTTAATTCTTAATTAATAATTGAAATAAATTTATATTCTTTCAATGTCAGAATTATTTAAATGCATCACTCTTCTCGAAATTTCCATAAATTTCGAGGTTTCAGTATATACTCATATCATCAATAATGAAATTAAGAAATACTGTAAAATCAAGTGATCTATGATATTTCTCGTTCAGATATGATATATCAGATATTATCAAATTTAGTTCTTTTATCCACAGGGAAATGGGAGTGATAGGGGAGAATGAAGATGGCTCAATTAATTCGATCGAGAAATTGTCACTGGTAACTGAAGAAAACATTTCTAATATACAGTCTGAGAGAGAAGCTGTTGAAAAAGCTGATGGACAAATGAGCATGAGCATTCAGAGATGTTCATCTGCATCAGTTGGTTGGCCGGATGATATGCTAACGAGTGAGATGAGTAGAACAGGCATTGATAGTGATTGTGATGATCAGTCAAGACTATCATTTATCATGAAAGAAAAACTTCATGCTTTGACCGGTAATATGCGACGTCGTACTTCACAGGTAATACAATTAAGCATTATGTTATTTTTTTTTTGTCGAGATTTCTGTACAGCTAATTTAATTTTCGAAATGATATGAAGAAAATGAGATTTGATCCCAAATTTTATACAGCGATTCATTTTTGCATCAAAGAGGCCTTCTACTTTTGACATTTAATTATTGCAAAATGCTTATCGTTTATTGATGCTTAAAATTATCATCTATCATTTCAGTAAGAATTAAGTTAGTGATCGCATTTTTTTTTTTGGTATTAAAAATTTGAAAATTTATGCTGATAGGATTTTTCTATTATGAATTGTGAAACTATCGATGTTAAATAGATGGTCAATGAAATAATGAGAGAATCCGATGATGAAGAGAAATGCTTAGAAAATATTGAACTTGATCGAAAAGAACATCGTCTAAGTTTAATGTCATTAATTGGACTTCAAGTTAGTCTTTCAAGCAATCATTTTAAAAATTGATTCAAAATTTTGGCTAAAAATCAAGCGATTTATTTTTTGTTTGTAAATATTAAAAAATAAAAGATGAGTAACAAAAAAAGGATAAAGATAGATACAAATATCTCTAATGTTCAAATTTATAAAACTGTGGAAAATTTTTCTATTTTTTTAGCGAAGAGCATCACCTGTAATTGATTCAGATATAAACAAATCCAAAAATTATTTACGACGAATCTTTCTATCATCTATCAATCCATTCCGTTTGTTTACTAATATTTCAGTATATGATAGTAATAAATTTAATTATATTTTTTCTTTCATCATCTTGATAAACTCAACCGTTTTTCGTTGAATAAGATTGAATGAGAAAAGTATGGCTACAATGTTTAACATTTTGAAGCTATCAATTGTTTTTTTTTTCTCAACTCCAGTAATTTTTGCATAACAAATGATTGAATTTAAAATTGCATTAATTGAAATTTTAATAAATGGAATAGTGTAGATCATAATATCTAGTGCTAATTATTTATTATTAAGTTTTTTTGGTTATTAACTTTTTTGAATAAATGCTTAAGATTAAATTATTAAATTTTTTCGAATAAATATTTAGGGTTTTGTTTACTTTTTTGACATTTCCATACTTATCATCATAGCTTCAAATCTACTGCATTAATCTGTTGTCATTATTTATATCAAATGAAATTAACAATTTCCGATCGAGAGTATGTAATTTGGTTAACGATAGTGGTGATAGCATTTTTGTACAATGCCTTCGGTATTCCATTACGAAGTTCCTATCCTTATCAAACAGAATCTAATCTGATTTATTGGCTTATTGCTGATTATATTGCTGATGCTATATATTTAATTGATATGTTACTCATCAAGCCGAGGTTACGTTTTATGCGTGGCGGACTTCCTGTGGTAAGTAATTTAATAAATATAGCATAAAAAGCATGAAACGTTTAGCAATGATTTATTTTGCATCACATAAAGATTGGAATAAAAAAACAAAAACAATGGTAAAGAGGAATTGGAACAAATAAAATACATGCAATTTAAATGATATATTAAAATAAATTCTAAATATTGCATTTAAAAGAATGCTTGATCCAAAATTTCACTTGTTTAAATATTTATTTAATTAACTATTTGTTTGAATGAATTATTACTCATTCATTATTTCACTGTTCTATTTGTTTTGCAATTTTTATTTGCGCATTAAGTTATTCATATTATTCATGTACATATTACTTTTAGTTAATTAATTTTTGACATTCAAATTATTCATATATTAATTTTAATAGTTTTTATTTGAAATTAATCAAATAATACTAAAAAATTTTTTCACTCAGAAAGATATAAAAGAAACAGCAAAACGTTATGTGCGCAGTATTAATTTCAAACTTGATTTAATTTCATTAATACCATTCGATATAATTTACATCTGGACAGGACCAATTGCTGCATGGCGTGCTGTACGTATGTGTAAGGTACGATTTTTTTTATTTTTCTTTTTTTTTCGGTAAAAATTATCAATATTTTTAATATTCAAAAATTTTGAAAAATGATAAAGTGTTTAAAAAATTTACTAACTGACTTTTAATATTTAAAAAATTTAATGATTGACTAATTAATATGTCTTTGAATGCTTATATATTCATTTATTTTAGCTAAAATATTACTTTTTGACCCTTTTTTTTCTTCAGCTTCTATCATTTTGGCAATTATTCAGTCTTCTCGATAATTCAGTCTCAAATCCATACATAATTAGGTAAAATTATGGGCACATTTGAATTATTTTAAAAAGTAATGCTTTCGGTATTGTTTAGATTTTTTTTTAAAAAAAAAATTCATATAAATTTCTGGAATTATGCTGATTTTTTAAAAAATTCTTCTAGTATGCATTTTTAATTATTTTGTAGGATAACAAAAACTCTTGCATATATGATTTATTTAATTCATTGTAATAGTTGTATATATTACACGTTGAGTGCTTGGCAAGCATTTGGACAAATTGCTTATCGAATGAATAATAAATGGTATCTTAATAAATGGGTTTACAATAATCAAGGTGTGCTGATGATCATTATTACCTTGTATTATTTGAACATTTTTGATAATAGAAAGTAATTTTGTAATGAACAGCAAAAATTAATAATTTGAAAATTATAATTAAATAAATAAGTTCCGCAATACTACAGATAAATCGATACATGTATTGATATCGATAGTGCAATAACATGAAAATTTTTACCTTTCAGGAAATGCATACATTCGATGTTTTTACTTTACAACAGCGGTAGCAACATCAACCGGTAATAATCCGGCACCAACAAATATTGTTGAATATGTTTATATGACATTCTCATGGATGATGGGTGTTTTTGTTTTTGCTTTACTACTTGGACAAATAAGTTGCTTCATGAATTTAAAAGTTTTTTTTCTTTTAAAAAAAAAGAAGTAAAATTTTACAAAAATATTTTTAAAAAAAAATTTTTTAATTACAGAAATTTAAATTGGGAGAAATTAAATAATTATCATTTGAGTTAAATAGGAAATTATTTTATCATTGTTTAAATGTATGTAAATATGTATCTTTTGTGATAAATATTTCAAATGTATCGCCAATTTTGAAATCTCTCATTAAAGATGTAAATGTTGAGAAATATATTTTGCATATTTGAATTAATTTGTTAGATTCGAGATATCGTTTCAAATGCAAATCGTAACCGTGAAAATTATCGTAAAACTGTGGATCAGGTTTTAAGTGAATGTAAACGACTTGGTTTATCAAAAGATACTATCAATCGTGTTCGTGATTGGTTTATATACACATGGCAAAAACAAAAAGCTTTAGGTTTGTTAATTTAACCTTGGATTTCGTTCTTTTATTTTGTATTACATAATCCTTCAATTATTATTTATAATAATTCATGTTAATTTTGATTAAATATTTTGTTTCTATCAGAAGATATCGTGTATTTTTTTTCAAATTTTTCCATA